GCTTGCTGTCCTCGTGGTGATGAAAACAAAGACTAGACCTTCTCAACAGCCTATTCGATCGAAATATCAAACACGTACTGTAGACAGAGAAAACAAGTCTAATCTACCTTTTCTGGTAATTGCCATAAAACTATAGTATATCCTAATCCCACCAACACTGAAAAACATCTTGACTTGAACTCACGTAATCACTTAAATAATGAAAGGCGCCTGTAGCAACAGCCTTAGCAGATAGTACTCTAATTCATGTAGAAATGAATTTCTTAAAAAACTAAAACAGTTAATTAAACTTAAGTATCAATAATTATCAAATGAAATTAATTAATACATAAAACGTAAAATACGTCACCTCAAATAATTTTGTAACAGCAGTAATATTAAAAAATAATATTAGTAAATCATAAATACATCCGGTGTTTCTTCAGAATGAGAAGTCACTGATTGGGCACGTGTTTCGAAAGATTAACCTGGTGCAAGTGTATTCAAAGAACCTGTTATGCACTCCGGTTGTCTACTGCTGAAGCTGAAACGCTGACAGAGAATCGAGAACATTAGGAGCACTGTCTCACACGTCGGAGTCAATGACTCGAAAGAAGAAACGGTAATCAAAATTGACTGACAGCGTATGCGAGAGTATGGAACGAAAATAGTAATAATAAATCCATACTTAATTTTTCCCAATCGTTAAACTTAAGCGAAAAGTTTCAAAGGCTACTGAATATTAAATAGGCATTAATGAAATTTGTAAAACTTTGACAAACTTAACGTTTCATTGAGTAATTCTGAAAATAACAGTTTCTAGATTTGTAAATGCGGGAAGAATTACATAAGAGATAAAGGAAACACTGTCACTCAATGGCATAGAGGTACCTGCGTGGCTGAAAAAAAATGGATGATCATGATTGCGTGTGAGCGAACGTGCATAAGAAGCATCGAGGAAGAAAATGAATCACTCATCAAGTCCTGATCAAATGCGAAGGGATCTGCAGCACAGAAAGGCCAGTCCCTAATGATCAGGATGTACCGCATCGTCAACGAGCGAAACTGACATTAAGCCAAGTCAGTGTAAATCAATTAATCACTTGAAACACCGTTAGCCAAGTTAAATAATACTGACTTGAGTGAAGTACATTAATCCATTGGCGCAAAAATGACTCAACAAGCAGCGGGGGCAAAGAGTATGCCTCTCAGCTCCAAACAAACCACCATTTGCAAACAACCACAAACACTGCCGTGAAAAAACCCATGAGATATGTGCGTATAAGATGGCATTGGTTTATCACCCACTCGACAGAAGTCCCCATTGCGATGGTGTGTGATAAACCAGCGTTTGTGCGATTTCTCAGTATAAACACTAATACAAGAACAGAATAAGACATCCCGTCGTCTAATCCAGAAACAAAGGCAGAGTGGACCGAAGAGCCAGCACGGCAAAATACCCCACACATTTCTGAATACATCATCGAGATACAGTTACATGAGAAAAAGCTGACGATGCAATGGAACATTTGTGACAGATACCGTCTGCAGTAGAAAGCCCCTAATCAGGGCGATGAAATCCTTACCAACTCGAAACAGACATCAATGCGCCCACGAATGCGCTGGGTTTCGAGGCGATCGAAAACAACACACCATGGAACGGCATTCAGCTTTTCAGGTGGAGCGAAACTGGTGACCGTGCGACTAACAAAGGTCTGAAAGCAGACGGATCAGATGACATGTCTAAAACTGACCATAAAGTAGTCACGATATAAGGCACTGAAGGCACGCCCAACGCTCTGTCGAGGGATAGCGTGAAGCTTTCGCAACGTTGTACACTGTTCTAAATGTAAAGGAGTGAACAGAGTAGGTAGGAGTTCGAAAGTTAGGTGAAACGTACGTAAAGTTCTTCGTTAGGAGCACTTGAAACGAGGTCGATCAAATTAGATCCAACAGCGTGCAACCAAAAGGCATATTTTTCACGCAATTGAATCAACTTCGAAATGGAATCGTTTTCTCCACTGGTCTGGCTTCCCACCACGGCCACCACAACTATGTGACATAGACCGTCACGAGTTTTGTCGTAGAGCAGCTTCTGTAGTTCTTCCACGTCCTAAATATCATTTTGCAAATGCAAGACCATCGAAAATGCCCCCTCCAACCATGCAACTGCTGTATGTAGCGTTTGGAGCAGAATGCTGAGCAGGAACCGAAACAAGTTCTACATAAGGCTAAAAAACATGCAAAGTTACGAGAAGAATTAGAGTACAGAAATAAGAAAAAAATAATACGAGAAACTGTAGCAGTAAAGTGTTGAATAATTCCACGTGCGGCAACGATGGGCTGAGGCATATTATGATTCTGTGCTCGGTCAACTTCTCGCGACCGATTTTCAACGCTACATGGTTCATCACTGACCTCAAAGAATCGAAGATGCCATCGTGAAAATACACGGTAAAATCTTTGATCCTGAAATTACTCACATAGGGAAGTTTAGTCGAGTCAAGAACGCTACATTTGACGGGAAAACAGAATTTTCAGTAACAAGACAAGTACAAAAATTAGTAATAGATATTCCCAGGTTTGTATGTGGTCATCGGCTTTCCTCACTAGTGACAAAGTTCAATAATATGTCCCTGTCTAGTCGAGGAGAATCACGAAAATAAGGAAAGAATGCTCTGACCTCATGCTTCATTCCGATATAATGCTGTGTTCAGTTATCCGTCTCTGGCGGTTAAAAGGCAAGTGGCTGGATCTGAACTAGGATCCGCGATCTTATTCCGTAAATCCATCATTTCATGACCTACCAAATCAACCGAATTAAGGAGAATCAGTACGTCTATTTTTCAATGACGGCGAAAAGGCACGAGGAAAAATTTAGTAAAACTGTGAGACTTTCCTGCTCTTTTCCGGTATGATCACCAATATGCTAATTGCATAACGTAAAGAATACAACGAAAGGAAGAAATCACAGACACAGATAAGATTATCCTGATGTTTTGGCATAGTTACCGTGCTGTAGACTGCAATTCTGTCGGTACTCACTGTATTGTAATTTTTGATACCTCGTTTACACGGCATAATCTCACAGCACCCATGCTTATAATCGCCAAGAGGGACCACAAAAGTCTAAAAATAAAACAAAACTAATTACCTGACAAGATTCAAGAACAGGTTGGAACAAAATGAGTATAAACAGCAAACGGGCTCTGACTGTTTACCATCCGAAAGCAACCTCAGGTACTCTTTCAGACTGTACGACGTAAGAACACTTTGTGCCATCTCATCCAACGCCGGAATAGAGCTTCTAAAAATGTCCAGTTGAATAAAAAACAACTGACCGATACCTGTATATGTTCTGTACGAATCAGGAAGGCCATTGGCAGTGTTCTCCTTTAAAGGGCCATCATGCAACTGCCGCAAACCAGAAACCGTAGTCTGCAGTCGTTTCAACAGATTGCACGTCAACCTAGAAACGCCGACGTTCTGACAATAATACAAAAAAAAAACAAACACATTCTCATAGTAAAAAACTGTATAGATCATTTATTCAAAGTTCCAGTACCATGGAATAACAATATGATAAAACTGAATTCCACAAAGTGATGCTATAAAATTATGCGTACAGTCACTGAATTACTTTTGTTCTTCGACTAATCCAGTTATTGAGGATGGTTTAGGGAAGGAAAGGCATAAATCTGATTCATAATTACCGGTCCCATATACTCTTTCGGGTATTTAGCCTCATTCAAAACATAGCTGAATAGAAAATAAACTTGCTGAGTGATACCGAAACTTCAAACAACAGCATAATTCAACATGGACGACAAGAGAGGAAAAGATCGATCCTAATGCCTAGCGGTTCTTGAAAAACCAAAGAGAAATAAATGATGCTAGCATGTAATCGGGTGATTTATTATGAGAAGAAAGAAATCACTATAGTCATCAAGTGATCGATCCAAACTTCATAAGGTCGAACATTTGTTTTATTTTCTATTTTCTTATACTATTTATATTGTATCATTTGACCACGCACAAATAATAATATATTAAAATCCAATTTTCGCTGGAATCCAATTCTGTGAATGAAACAAGCACTAAAACAGAAATAGCTTTGAAAACGAGTTAATATACATGTAAGCAACAAAAGTGTGATTAACGAGTGGGATAAATTCAACTTACGTACAATTCATGTTACGTAAATCCTACCAAAGTGGAGCTATGTCTACATATT